CTCAAATCCCCAAGCATCTGCCACTTCTTGGGATATATATGAAAATATGATTTAATGTGAACAGCTCTACTCTTAACCACCATAGTTCAAGTTACTATCAGCTTTTACCTCAATTATGATAACAAATTTCTTTCTAACCTTTTTTTCTACCCTTCTTTTTGAATCTGCTCTGAACATAGCAGTCAGTCTGATCTCATTAAGATGAAATTCCCATCATATTCTGCGAAATGTCCTTGCCTCCAGGACCCTATAGGATTCAGCAGCCTATTGTCTGACTTCATTTTGCACTGCGGCTTCATAGGTGCCGAGCATGTACCCCCTGGTGGATTTTTTTTTAATCTCTATACCTATTTTCAGACTCACATGCTTCGAGCCTCAATTCTTCACCCACTTAGTTTTATTCCGATGTTGCCTTTGCAGTTAGGTCCATATGGAACATAACTCTTAAAAGTTCAGGACTTGAGCTCTCTTTTTCTAACTTCTTACTGCCTTTATTTAATTAAAGCACGTATCACCATCTGTTCTACTATATATATATTTTTTATAATACTTTCTTTTACCCTCTTCCACTTGGAGGTATACTTTCTCTATGCAGACATTTTTGTCTGATTGGTCTTTTCACTAATCCCTAGTCATGTTTATCTGATGAATTGCCCACCGTGGCTCTCTATGAGGCTTTGTTTTATCCAGCCATGCAGATGTGGTATATGTTAAAGTAAAATTGTTATTACTTTTTATGATACCACTTTAATTTTTATAGCAAGTTTATAAAGATTTAATTCCTATAGAGTATGGTAGTCATGCTCAGAGTATATAACCTATTTTTTCAGAGTTTCAGAATGCTGTAATCCTCACCACAGTTTGAGAATATTTTCATCATCTTAAAAATAACCCACAATTAGTCTCAGTCAGTCTCTGTTTATCACTTTTAATTCCCTGCATCCTTCATCACCACCAGGCCACTTCTTGTCTCTAGCTGCATTCACCCTGGACATTTCATCTAGGACAATATATTATGGATTATTTGTGACTGGTGGCTTTGACTACCTACATACTTGCCAACTTCTTTCAGGTTGTAACCAGTACTCCTTTGGTTTTGTAGCCAAACTATATTCCATTGGCTAAATACACATTTGCCTTTTTAATGTTACATCTTAATACTTTTTATACTGATTTTAGATACTTAACAGATATACGATTTGCAAGGATAATTTTGTGTGCCATTGTATTCATTGCTTTTCCATTGCTGTGATAAAACACCATCACAAATACAACTTATAGAGGAAGAATATATTTGAGCTTATGATTCCAGAGAGTTAGAGTCCATAATGATGGGGACAGTTTGGTGGCAGGAGCAGAAAGCTGAGAGCACACATCTTGAACTTAGGGCATGAAACAGAAACATTAATCTGGAAGTAGGTGAGGCTTTTTAATCTTAAATCTATCCTCAGTGATATACTTCTGTTGTTGAATATTAATACTTACTATTGATTTATCTTTTAGTTAAGCAGCAGTTATTTCTAAACTAGCTGTATACCCAAATCACCACACAGAGACTAGGATTTATTTAATTAACCTAGAGCACAATGCTAAACCTCCATCCTAAACCTCCAAGCCCACATAGTTACCTACCATTCAGACTTTACCCATTATACTTGCTCTAGTCATATCTTAGGTCTGGTTCATCTCTCCTGGTGGTTCCAAGTCCTCTCCTGCCCATCTCTGTCTCTGATTCCCATTTGCTTCTTTCTCCTCCCCTCCAGACCAGAATGTCCTACCCTATTCTCTCCATTGCTCAGCATTGTGGCTGGTTGTTTTATTGACAATACAGAGAACAATGGTGGCATGTTTACACAAACATGAGACAGGTGATGCTCAATTGAAACCAGATAGTGGGATAGGGAAGTCAGCATGTGAATGAACAAGGGTAAATTGTATACATTCCACAAGCACATTATACCAACATACTTCCTCTAGTGACACTGCACCACCTAAGTCTTCCCCAAGCAATGTCATAACATGGAGACCAAGTGTTCAAATGCCAGAGACTATGGGGGACCTGGATCCCTCTTTCATTCAACCCCTATAGCAGTCTTACTCCTTGATACTGTCCTTTGAAGCATAGAAGTTTCTAATTATCATTTCAGTTTATCTGAGTTTGATTGCTGTGCTTTTCATCATCTTTAAGAAATAACTTCTTAATCCAAAGTCAAGATTTATTCCTATTTTTTTCAAAGGTCTGCAGTGTTATTCTTAAATTTAGGTCACTTGGAGTTAATATTTGTATATGTGAGATTAGGTAATTAGCCATTTTGTGAATGGATATGTTATTGAACAAGGAAGCCATGTTGTACCAGCATTATTAAAAATATTATCCCAACAGTATCCTACTCCATTGTATTATCCAAACACCACTGTCAAAATTTACTTGGCTATAAATGTAAAGGTTTAACTCCAGACTCTTGTGGGTTTAATTCTATTCCATTCATCACAGTAACTTCCTATCTATATGTTGCTGTCAGAAACCTCAGGGGGCAGATGTATTCTTTTTAACCATATTCACCTTGCCCAGGCTGTGTTTTTATTCATTGAGAGCTCTATAATAACAGTTTTCTGGAAAGCTAGTTCCTTGGGAAAAGCTTTCAGGAAAGGCACATAACGTCTTAAGTCCTTAATTTGGTGGTTTTTATTTGCCTTCGTGGAGTTGTAAATGTCAAGAGTTTGTACTCATGGTTTCCCTTTCCTGTCTTCAGTCTTCTTGGCTCTCCGAGTTGTCCACTTTGGATTCTTTCTTTCCTCTTCAGGAGCTCTTTGGAGCCCCAGTGGAATTTGAGAGCCAGGTAATTATTTGCACATTAGCATGTGCAGCTTAAGCCCTGCATGGACTTACTGCTCAAGAACCATTTTTGTGGTATGAAGGTAGGGACGGCTGGTGGCTAGAATGCCACCTTGGAACACATGGGTCCCTTTCATGGCAGGCTAATTTTAGAAGCTGAGCTTCTGATCTTAGAGATTGGAATTTTTATTTTATTTACTTTTTGATAGATCAGGAGAGCAGAAAATTTTCTGTCATTGATGCTGTGCAAGGGTACCAACCATTCCATTCGTTTGCCCTTCCTAGTGAATTAACTAGTTGCTGGTGAGCCCCCATGGAAAACTGAACACAGATTTAACTGAATCTTTCAGGTAGCAGTGGTGCATACACATTGATCTCTACAAGCTGCTCTTCTGTCTGTGTATCACCACACTCAGGGTCTTTTGAGACAAGTTTCAGTTGGGTGATGAATATAGAATTTCTTTAGAGCAGTAAAATGAAATGATGGAGTACCCTGGGCTTGATGCTGAGACCAGTAGTGCAACATTTATGTACTGACAGTGTGGTAGAAAGCCACCAGTTAGGGTTTTACTGCTGTGACAAAACACCTTAACCAAAATCCACATGGGAAGGAAATGGTTTATTTAATCTTGTAGCCTAAAGTTCCTCATTCAGGGAAGTCAGGGCAGTAACTCGGGCTGGAACTGAAGAAGGGGCCATGAAGAAATACTGATACCTGGCTTGCTAATCATCACTTGCTTATCCTACCTCCTGACAGACCCAGGGATGACCTGCACAGGGTTGCTCATACCACCCACGGGGAGCAGGGCCTCTCACCAGTCATTAATCCAGACAGTACCCCACAGACTCGCCTGTATGCCAACCATATGGAGGCATATTCTCACTGCAGATTCCCTCTTCCCAGATATGTCTAGGTTTATGTCAAGTTGGCAAGGCCAAGCCAACCAACACAGAATGCTCATAATACGATCTGTTATTGCCTCCCAGTCTCCTTCCAGGTTTTCACCCTTGGATCTAGTGAAAACCTACACCTTGACTGAGTGTAGCCAAACATGCTAACAAACAGAAACTTTTGTTCTTCCAGATATCCAGTGAGAAATGTTCATTGAAAACCCCCAGTGTACTCCATACTGTAATTCCTAATTTCTGTTATTCCAGAAAAGTGAAAACACAGCTCTACTCTCTGTCCAAGGACTAGATGTTAGAAAATAATATTACTTTTAAATATACGATTCTATCAGCAACTTGGTCTTTTCACAACACGTTATGCTGGGACCATATAGTTATATGTTGGTTAAATCAAACATAATGGAAGTGCTGTACTGGCTAAAGAGATTTCACATCCTTTGAGGAAATGACAGTCACATTAAGATATTAGTGAGAATCAGTTAGGCTTTGGGGAGCTTGGGAGCAATAGAGAAGGCTTTTAGAAGAGTGTGTACCCAGGGATGCAAGAGAAAATGTGCCCGGGATGCAGGAAATTATGTGCCCAGGGATGCACGAGAGAGCCAGGCTGTGAGAAGCTGTAGTGCAAGACAGAGGTTGACAGTGAAGTGAGGTCAACCCTACAACATGCTGTGGGCTGCAGTCTGCGTGGTGTATCCTATCCAAACACAAGGAAGGGAAGATGCTCAATGTTTTTCAAGTAAAAGCTACTTTTTATGTGCCTAGGACTGGGTCTTTAATTGTTTTCCTTAGAGCACTTTTGTTCTATCTGTGGACCAGTAGACTATATTTTGAGTCAAAGTTTGAGCTGTAGAGTTAACTTGCCTCTTTTTATTTTTCTTTTTTTTTTTTTGTCATTGTTTTGTTTATAAAGAGCGTAAGATCATTTTTAGTCATAATAACCACTAAATCTTTTTCTCTGTGTTTTGAGGGTTGTATTTTATAGAAACTACTGAGGAATATATAAAGTCTTCTTTTCTTTGTACTATATATGATATATGACTTCAAGAGGTGATATAGTAAAAAGTAGTATGAAGGAAACAGTTCCAGAAATGAAGATGATAATCAAATGAGAAAAACTTTAACAACATTTGTGAAGTTATAGGTAGTAAGATTTTGAGATTTAGATGAATACAATTTGAGATTATTTTACAGTATTTTTAGTAAGATTACTAAGTATCTTATTAAATGTTTTTTTCTCCACTTTCTTTTTTTTTAGATTTAATCACTTGTTTGGATACTGTAACTAATTTTTTGGAACCTGAGTTCAGGTATGAAGTGTGTGTGTGTGTGTGTGTGTGTGTGTGTGTGTGTGTGTGTGTGTG